CCTGTTACTAACGTTATTCAAATAATCTCGAGTTATTTTTACAGGTCATGAAACAAGTGTATCTCCGAACGAATTTATTTTTTCCCTCCGCCTCCGTTACCAGGTCACTGGTCCGTGGGCTAAGAAGTGTGACGTCATAGGTGGCTCTTGAAAATAAGCTGTGTATTACAACGAGGTTTTTCCATTTCTTTGCTCTTGTGGAAAATTAATCTGGAACATTATTTTTTCCACATTCGTGGCTTGGAAAATGTGTCTAGCATTGAGCAACAGAATATCTTTTAAATAACATGGTTTAAGCAGCTGCCGTGGTCACGGGGGGACAAAGCATCCGAAACGTCGGGCCGTAGTTAAATTGATTTTCAAATAATTTTAACTTACATATATTGCGTTTTAAACCGTTAAAGTGTTTTATTGAAATGTGCACATTTAAATAAAACACATTAGGTAGACATTCTGTTAAATACTTTTAATAGAATGTCTACCTAATGTTTTGTAAAGGCTAATTAATTTTGTTAGTTATTTATTAAAGTAGATGAATGTATATTTTGTTTTATTTCATTTGTTGGGTTAAGTTTTATTTTGATATTGAATATTGATTATATTTAAAATAGTAAATTTTGTTTCGCCCGCCTTCCACTTATCGTTTTCCCGCTAACTTACTCCTCTTTCATCTTGCGTTGCCTAGAAGAGATCGCTCGTTAGCGATAAGGCCACCCATTGCAACCCATATTTTGAGTATATAAGTCTCGTTTATATTTTTGTTAATTATGTTCCTAATCAATATAGATTTTTTCTAAAACATGTTCGACTTCTGGAAACCTGGAATAGTGGATAAATGTGGCATATCACAATTATTTGATCAATATCCATCTATTCAAAAGCCGTGAAGTTCATTCGCGTTTCGGTTTTCGGTTTGTAAATTTCCATAGTCAAATTAGGACAACAGTGCATCTTCTTTAAAAGCAACTCTATGCATATCAAATCGTTTATTCCATATGCAATGAAAAAAATGTGTGTGGAAAACCGAGTCAGCTTTATTTGTACCTGGAAGTCGATTTTCAGTTATGCCCCACGCTTGACATTAGAAGTAGAACATTAGAAATAAACAGACACATAGCACAAAATGGTTACAATAAAATAAATATCGTTGAGAAAACTTTTAAGTTAAACGGTTTTATTTTTTGAGCAATTAAAAATTCGAAATTTTTCAAATTTTGACAAAATTATCGTGTTTTACTAGTGTAGTATTTGATACCCATATTGAGGGGGTTAAGGAAAAATATGTAATCCGCCATTTTGTATCGGCGGCCATCTTGGATTTATAATGTTATTGATTTTGTTATATTGTATTGTTATCCAAATTAAATGTGTGTACCAAATTTCAGATCAATCTGACAACGGGAAGGTGCTTAAATTTCAATGTCTAATTTCGAACCAAATAAAAAATTCCATAGTCGAGCTAAATAATACCGTTTAATAAAAACTGTTATATTTGTTTTTCCGAAAGCAACTGTCACTTTAAGAAATACAAAGACTAAACACGTTGAAATATTACATGCCCCCGGAGACAAACGGGCTGTAATCTACATGCGATTCTATCTTTTTTGGTGACCATAACGTTTTTATTCTGTTTTTTATGGCATGTTTTTATTTCTGGACGTTTATGACATCTAAAAGAGAATTGGCAGTTACGGCTAATCGTGGTTCTGCTTCACTACAATCGATATAACAACCAAATGTCAAGTGTTGAATACGTCAATGTTTTGCTGTTTGTAAAAAAATGTCACTAGATGTCACCTGCATGTATCTACATAAAACGAATAGTCTTACGCATTCTTATATGTATAAAAATACACTAAACTACACACTAAAGTCTCCCCGTGACCACGGCTGCTGCAAAGCATCCGAATGGTCGGGTCGAAGTTAAAAATCAAATTCAAATAAGTTTAACTAATATATCGCGTTTTAAACCGTTAAAGTGTTTTATTTAAATGTGTACTACTCGCGTAAACTATAGACAGTATTTAGAATGTTACTTGTAAATTTATAAGCCACGGTTTTTGACAGTACACAACACTAGGTTTTTACTTCAAAAAGACTTACACCCTTAATGCAGTAAGACGATATGATTTTTATGAAAGTGTCTTCGCTATAAAAGGGATGTAATCGGATGGTGTATACGACATCAAATATTAATGCTATTGCTTTGGATTCCATCTTTACGATATGTCGTATTAAAATTCGTAATATGAGACAACGGTTCTTTGGGGCTTTACTTTACGACGAAAAGACGGCGTGCTCGTGTAAAAAAAGATAAAAGGACGGCTTCCCACGCGAGGTGTATTAGTTAACTTATTTGTATTTTTAAGGATCGACGTTTGGAATGGTTTGCAGCAGCCGTGGTCACGAGGAGTCCTCCTATGACCAGAATATAGAAGGTGTCCCTTAAACACTGTCTGGAGCTTACGCGAGTAGTACACATTTAAATTAAACACTTTAACGGTTTAAAACGCGATATATTTAGGCTGCTGCAAAGCATCCGAAACGTCGGGCCGTAGTTAAAAATAATTCTCAAACAAGTTTAACTAAAATATATCGCATTTTAAACCTTTAAAGTGTTTTATTTAAACATGTCCCTTATCTCAAATCGGCTACGCTGGCGCCATATGTTTTGTCGTAACTTGCATTTCATTTTTTAAGAAACAGGAAACGAATATATGGCACTCCTAGATGAAAACATCACTCAAAAAATACTTAAATTGAGTTAGTGGCGTTTTCAAAATCCCGCCATGAATACCTACACGGAGTTCAAACTCCGGTAACGCTAACTTCGACCGTTGAAAAAAAAAATTCGAAAAAAAAATTTCCGCCGAAAATTTCATATTACCTAAAGAAAACACAACTAACTAAAAAAATGAGTTTTTTTTAACTTTTGTGACAATAGCATTAAAAAGTAGGTCATTAAAAAGGCTCTAGAACTTTACCTATCATAATAATTATTAGTATACTCGATATCTTTAGTAAATACTCCGAAAACAGTTTTTAGTCATTTCTGAAAAAAACGTTTTTTTGAATTGCCGGAGTTTTCATCTAGGGGTGCGAATTATTGCGCGTTTTAAACTGTTAAAATATTTTAAACTACAGACGGGGCTTTTGTTTATTGTATATACATTGAATTTTCTCTTGTTATTTGTCTGATCGTCGACAAATACTTGTACCAGACTTCTGAATCGCAGTCTTGGCGACGTGGAGCGTCTCCTGCATGATAATGGCTCGGCGAGTTTTTATTGAACTACGCGTCAATTCAATTTGCTTGAAGGCTTTGCAGTCGAAATTTATTTTGACGTATGCCATCCTATATTCACTACCATACGTAAAAATAAAACACTTTTAACAGTTTAAAACTCGAATCATTTTTGTTAACTTAGTTCTCACTTCCGAAACGTCTTACCGTATTTATGACAAATTCAAAATTAGCTTAATACATTTCACGTTTTAAACCGTCAAAAGTGTTTTATTTACTTTATAATCTATATTTGTCATATTAATACTATTAAGGGATTCGTACTTAGTAAAGTTACAACGGCATCTCTAAACAAAACTAAGTTGTGTGTCTATTATCTTAAGAATATCTAGGCAGTTGAAAATTTAGCAAATAATGTCTATTGCCTCTATAACAATTTGCTGATCCTAGGTTTGGATTCCGGGAAAATTAAAATTTCGGTCAGGCAGGTCTCTGATCAACGTGTCTGTAAGTTTAATCTATCAATTAAACAAGTACAGCAATTTTGCGCCCCCTACGGGAATGGTACGGAAATTAAAGGGGGTTTAATTTTTTTTCTTCTTATAAATGTAATATTATGCAAATTTTTTAATTTTGGTTTTGTAAATTTATTTATTGTGTGCTTACAATTAAGCGTTTAAATAAATGAAATATTTACTTTAAAATTACATAGACGACTCTGTACATCATTACTCTGTGCAAAACTAACAAACTATAATAAAATGAGTTCAAAACAGCTCAAAACTACAGTAATTCTTCAGAAGTTACACGTAAGTATGCTTCTTAGTCTCCACTAACTTACTCAGAAAACACATTATGGGTTTCAGGTGTTGAAACGAGATAGGGGGAAGGGGAAAGTTGATAGTTTTAAAATGACAAAGTTTTGGATAGCTATTTATAGATTCATTTTTTTTGAGAGGCGGTAAAACAAGAATCATTTATCAGTATGTAAAACTATACAAAATCCAACCTAGATGTGCGATCGACCTATCTTCGCTTTGGATAAAGGGAAAGCAACATTGAAACCGAAATGCGATTACACTTCAGGGGTTTTGACTGGCTTGTTCGTGTCATGGTAGCAAGGCGTGGCTATTTATCAACGGGTTGTATGTTGTTGGAATATCAAAATTTAAAGGTCCCTTCCTGCTTAACTTATTTATTAATAAAAATATAAGCCACACTCACTTCTTATTCTTCCCAATTAAATGAAATTAAAGTGTTTCTTCTAAATTTAAATTATACTCAAACAGAAAACTGTATTAATGTAATTGTATGACAAAATGTTTTCCATATTATTAAGTTTAATTTTTTATTATATTTAAATACTTAGCATATAATAACTTTATAAGTAGATACTAAGTTTTTCATTGTTTTTCTCGAAATGCACCGGAAGAGTCTAGCCGCCGACGACACAGGGAATCCTAGTGTGGGGGCTAGCACACCCTATAATGATATGTACCCAGTTTTGGTGAATAAAGAATTTGTATTGTAGTATTTGAATAGTCGTTTAATCGAGTTTCAGTTCCAATCTGTGGATTTCCAAAGCCAAAATAGGTCGATAACATATCATTGAGATATAATATGCCTGGGGTATTCCACCATCAATCAATTGAACCCCGCGCTTGACTGCCTGTCCTCTCTCATGAAAAAAGAACGTTGCTACGTAAGAAACTGAAGCAGTAGAACATTTATGGCTGTAAATGTTCTACTGCTTCAGCTACACAACAAACAAACATACCATCATAAGTCCACCTAGAACGATATCACCTTCGACGATGGCTGCATTCTTTATCGGCCATACTGTTTCATTTTCCGTCTTCTTTTTCGATATCAACCTCTCTCCACCGTCCAAACTTTTGCTTGATACACTTTTGGACTTCCTAGACACTTTACTTCTAGATTTCTCTATTCCAGGTGGCACTGTAGTGGAGGTTCTCCTAACAGCTTTTCGTTTTCCTGTACCTTTAGAATCTAATCTAGATTTATCGTTTTTTCTTTTTGGAATCATAGTTGTCGTTCTAACGACACTTCCTTTCTCATCTACTTTAGTATTTGGCACAGATTTTGATTTATAATTTTCAACATCATCTTCAGTAAAAACGGTTGTATCTAAAACATTTTTCGCATCGTCATTATCTTTAGGGTCTGTAAAAGCGGTCAGCGCTAATTGCCTCTCCGTTAATACCTCCCTTGAATGCAAAGACGCTACACTCGGCATTTCTTCTTTTAACCTTTGCTTCTTTTTAAAGAGTTTCGTTAAATCAAAAGGCCCGATGAGAGAATGGGCCTCCCTCTTAATCCTATAGTATTCGTCCACTGAGTAGTATTCTAAGGTATTTGAAAAGTCTATGTTGGTGTTGCCACTGGTGATAACATTGGTCAGGTTGTAATATGGCCCTATGAAGGCGTAGTGTGAGTGGTCAGTGGTGGTCGTGGCTACCACTTGGCAGACGACCACCAGGAGGACTGCTCGCATTTTTAGTTGAACACCATTTCGTTTATTCTGACACTTGGTGCACTGACTGTTTTGTTTTGCTCATAGTCATTGTTCTATATTGCGCACAGTTTATGAATCACTTCACCTGTATTATAAACACATTCTTAAAATAATAAACTATTTAGAAGAAGCAGCACTGCGTCTAAATTACTATCATAAGTCAAAATATTTTACCAATATTATAATGTAGATATACCTAACTACTTAACTAAAAATCGATTAAACAACGCACACTTGAAAATATTTTGTGAAGTTTTCGCGCGTTTTCCGAGAAAATGGTTTCACAGCATGACGTCACGCGTCGCTCCACGTCGGCGGAGAGAACTGCCGTGTCGGCAGTCGCGCTCTGCCGGCTCGTAGCGTGAGGGTGTTATGCGAAACAGCTCAAATCTCGTTATCCTGTTTGAATTATATTACTTTTTTAGCCCTGCTTCCCGCGGGGCAAGAGGGGGAGATAGATTTTGATCTTTGTTTAATTGATAAGTTTTAAATACTAGAAGTAAATTATATATATTTTTGATTTAATTATTTCAGATTTCGATTTTCAATCAAATAATTTTGGTTAAATTAAAAATATTAGATAATTATTGGAATTATAATACATCTTTTTTTTACTCCACTCAATGGAAGACTCCGTTACAACAAACTTTTGTTGAACCTGCCAGGCAACCTCAATTTGACGTTCCGGCACCAGGTTTACACATGGTCAAATATGTTACGCGTTTCGAGATACTTACGAAAACTTCTTAGTTCTATAGCTGCCTTACTATATTTTTATGTAAGCGATCATAGGCGGGACTATACTAACGATACAATTTTAATACATAAGTCTATCGTCTTATCGTATTTTAAACTAAAAAAAACTATTTAATTTGAAATACTGTCCATAGTTTACGGTAGTAGTATACATTTAAATAAAACACTTTAGCGGTTTAAAACGCGATATAATACTTATCTGAAAATGATTTTTAACGTCGGCGCGACGTTTCGGATGCTTTAACTAATATATCGCGTTTTAACCAGTTAAAGTGTTTTATTTAAATATTTAATTTTAGCTTGCCACCCCTTTCGCACACCGCCATCCACAATTTCCATTCGGAATTCGACCAGAGTCTCGCTCGTTATATCATTAACACTCGCTGCCTTGCCAAGTAATGCTTTCAGTTCATTCAGAATTTTCATATTTTCCGAAGGAAAAACAAGACTTATTTCCTCAACTTAATACATTTTAAAGAAAATCTCCTTTTGATGACCCGAATCTAAAGTAAATGCGATTAGATAAATATTTCCATTAACTTCAAGTATTGTAAGTAAGTAAGTAATTTCTTTCTTAGATTGTCTTCACGTTTGGTTGCCTGGAAGAGATCTCTGATAAGCGATAAGGCCGCCTTTTATTTATAAGCTAGTTCATAAGTTTTTATAAATGTAATCCATTCCTTTGGTGATTGTAAATAATAAAGTTATACAACCTAATAAAAAATAAATAAATATTGTATATAGCTAACGCGTGTCACCTTTGATCACTCACCTTTAAATAAAACACTTTTAACGGTTTAAAACGTGAAATGTATTAGGTAACGTCGTAACCAATGCTGTTGCAAAGCATCCGAAAAAACGAGACTTAGTTAATAATTTGTAAGTTTAACACTTTTCGCGTTTTAAACCGTCATTTTTTTAAAATTTAAATGTATTCTACTCGCGTAAACTACAGACAATACTTGACACGTATTTAATCATTACAAGTGTTACATTTTATTAACATTTAACCAAAATTACGTTAAAAATCTATTCAAATTGAAAAAATCGATGACACGGGCGGTACTTAGAACTATCCTTACTACTGTCGTAACTACTAGCAATTAACGGGTCCCAAGTCCGATCTCAACTGAGTACAACATTTAAATAAAACACTTTAACGGTTTAAAACGCGATATATTAGTTAAACTTATTTGAAAATGATTTTTAACTTCGGCCCGACGTTTCGGATGCTTTGCAGCAGCCGTGGTCACGGGGAGACTGTTTACTAAGTTTAACTAATATATCGCGTTTTAAACCGTTAAAGTGTTTTATTTAAATGTGTACTACTCGCGTAAACTATAGACAGTATTTGAGTACAACATGTTACTTTCTATATAAAACACTTTAACGGTTTAAAACGCGATATATTAGTTAACCTAATATATCGCCTTTAAAACCGTTAAAGTGTTTTATTTAAATGTGTACTACTCGCGTAAACTATAGACAGTATGTTTCTTTCTATTTAATAAATATATGAAATTTATTTAGACTTTGACGTTTATATTTCAATGGACTGTAGGAATATATGAATTTCGTTGACTTATTTAATCGTGTTTCGGCGTTTTACTGTGAATCAGTAAAATAGGGCGACCGCGCATCTTGTTGAGATGTTAAATGGCAACAGCGTTTCACCTCACATCTTTCGACGGGCTCGTTGGTGTTATTGTAGCATTGTATGGTTAGTAATCAACGGTCCGTGGCTTCGATCCCCACCAGGTCTAACATTTTTAAACCAGTTTATAATTTTTATGAGACATCTGACTTTGTCTGGATATTAATACATAAAAATAATAATAATAATAATAGGTGCCAGGCGCTAAGGGGGAGCATGGACGTCACTCCATCGTTTTAGCAGCACCGTATACTTTTCACACAATGCCCCCAGAATGCTATTGGTGCTTTGTCGAACTCGATACATGAGGGAAGCTACACGCTTGCGGATGATGGCGTGGAAACCATCCGTGCGTGCATCCGCAAACATGCCCGACGCACTACAGTATCTTGGCAAGCCCAATAACAACCTGAAAACATTGTTGTATTGCACACGAATAGCATTCAATGCTCTCTGAGTAAAGGAGGCCCATAAGCTACACGAGTAGAATGATTGGCAATAAGCCTTAAATAAGACGATTTTGACATCGTTTGAGCTTCGTGCAAACCTCCGGGCCAATATGTTACCCATCACCGCCATAGCCCTTCTTTTATTATATGTTAAATAGGTGGTAGGAATATCGATTCGATTACGCACCACCGTCCACCGTCGGTGTCAGTCTGTGTATTTCCGAATATCCAAAGCTAAAATAGGTAGATAGCGCATCTATTTAAATGATATATAACGGGTGTTTCACCCTTTAATAAAACACATTAACGGTTTAAAACGCGATATATTAGTTAAACTTATTTGAGAATGATTTTTAATTTCGGCCCGACGTTTCGAATGCTTTGCAGCAGCCGTGGCCATGGAGGGTGTTTCACCTTTTTTGTTGAAAGGTGTAACACCCCCCATGACCTTCTAGTATCACAAATTCGGAACGATTCGTGCACAAATAGCCTTGGTCGGTTTCTTTATCACAACCTACACTACGGCCTTGAGAGATTTCCTCGAGTTTTCCTGTTTTCCTCGGTAACAAAACATTGACCCGTATTAAGTGCACCATAAATTGTATCGTAATAGCTTCTCTACTGTCAATAAAGATGTGATATGGCTTAGACAAAAATGTTAAATCAATTTTGAGAAATAACTGTTAAATAAATCACTTTAACGGTTTAAAACGCGATATTTTTTGACAAACTTATTTGAAAATTATTTTAATTACGCCCCGACGTTTCGGGTGCTCTGCAGCAGCCGTGGTCACGGGGGGCCTAAAGATGGAGGACGTCAAAGTAGAAAATAATATTAATACTAGTTAAACAAATTTCAAATAAGTTTAATTAATCTATATAGCGTTTTAAATCGTTAGTAGTTTGTAGCTCAATTGGTTAGAGCAACAGCACGGAACGCTGAGGATGCCCGTTAAAGTCCTGCCCGAGACGTAATTTTTTTAATGTACAATCGGTTTTTAATTTAAATAGTTATTTTAATACCAATAGTGTATCTTAGTTGTGAAACGAAGAGTTTGTAAATAAGTATTAACTATCCTTATTCGAAATAAAGAAACGTTAGGTCATAGAAAAAAATGTAAATATAACTGTTGTTAAAAAATTTCTTTTTTTTTTTTTTTTTTTTTTTTTTTTTTTTTTTCCTTTTTTTTTTTTTTTTTTTTAGGGGTTTTTTTTTTTAAAACGCGAAATATATTAGTTAAACTTATATAACGACCATGACGTCATGACGTGTTAAAATAAAACACTTTTACTTTTAAACCGTTAAAAGTGTTTTATTTAAATGTGTAAGTACTATTCGCGTAAACTGCGGACTACACTTAGTCAACTAAACCGGCAATCATATTTATTGTAAAAGAGAAATGTAGAATGAAAAATAAAATTTCGCTCGCTACGAACTACTGGTCAAATTACAACATACAGTTTTCTGGGTTCCGTACTCGAAGGAACCCTGGAAGGAACAAAGGAACGTTGGACGCCATAAAAAATGGTAACACTTGAATTAAATAAATATTACCTATTGTCTGTAGTAAACGCGAGTAGTTTAAATAAAACAATGTCAACGGTTTAAAACTTGAAATGAACAACTTACATTTAATTTATTTTAACTAGAACCCTAGGTTTCGTATCAAATAAAAATAAGTTGAAATGGGGTTGTTACAAATAAATTATCTATAAGATCCCGCGGTTTAATTATATTGCCGTTCATTGTAATTTTTCATTTATACTTGTATAACGTTTAAATTACTTTACAAACCGTTAAAAGTGTTTTATTTAAATAATTTCTACGTTAATTCGTTACAGTTCATTTTATCTTTGATCTGTACTTGTTTGACCTTTTTTTCTTTTCAAAATTGTTTTTGTGTTTTTTTTCCCCGTTTTGTTCACATTTCCCGCTGTATCTTCGCTTCTATTAGTCACAGCGCGATGTTATAGCCTATAGCCTTCCTCGATAAATGCTCTAACTAACACAAACATAATTTTTGGATTTGAACTCGTAGTTCCTGAGATAAGCACGTTAAAACAAACTCTTCAGCTTTATATATTAGTATAGACATTGATGAAATTTGTTTTAGTTGTCG